TCCCTGTTCCTTTTGTTGGTGTCATACTGTTACTAAAAAGAGAGAAAGGAGAATGGGAATATTTGGGAGCTAACTTGTGTCTAGAACTGCTTGTTCATGGAAAGAGACCGGTAACATTGCAAACCTTCTGACTTTCTTTCATGAGCTTTGAGGAACATTTTTTTGTATTTGTGATTTGTGGGGAAAGGACACTCAAGAGACTTTCATAAGGTAGGGTGACTATCTGGCAAATCTATAGTAAAGCACACACACATTCCGAAACAAGATTTATCTGAGAATTAGAATATTAACTGATATTCCCTTCAAAATTAGTGTGTTGAGAGTGTTGTTGTTACACATGCTGGTAAGTTTGGTTTATGGTCACTTATTCACACCCTCACAATCCTGGAAAATAGCCACACTCAAACTGCTTTCAACCAAACACTGAAGCACAACTGATTCTTTAGAATACACAGAATCCATTGAATTTAAAATAACAGCAAAATTTTACTGGTTGCAATATATCCATTTGCTGTCTCATATGCACGCATGTACATGCACATAAACATACACTTACCCACATCCTTCTCAACTAGGCTGGCAGGCACTAGTCAGAAGGACAGAAGCCACAAGTCTGGATCCAAGGATGACTCAAAAAGTGGGCAGGCTTCAGGACCCCATTTTCCCCCAAAAGTCCTTCCTTTGGTGATTCTTATGTCTGGTAATTCTTGAAGATACTGGGGGAGGGGTTTCCTATGTGCTCAGGCCCAATTTCTTTCGTCTGTTTTTGGTGATACTTTTTTCTTCGTTTCCTTAATAACTTGGTTCCTTCTTAACTACTTACCCTAAGGGTCCCTTACCTGGTCTTTGTCCACCCTGCTTATGTGCCTGCTTCAGCTTCAGCCTAGTGACTAGAATCACACTATCTAATCTAATTTGGAGACTCAGTAAATTATCAGGGAGTCCAAAGATATAGGCCAATTTGTTTTGATGTCTGAACTAGAACAAGAATCAGAAAAATCTAACTCCATTTTCCTATAATATAGTATAATGAAAAGTCCAGAAATTAGCTGTTCCTTCTTTTGTTCTTCATCAGAATATCTCATTATGCTATTGTATACAATAACAATACAATTAGAGCTTTATATTATGGAAAAGCATGCCTAATTTCTTAGAAATGACTTTTTTAAAAAGTACTCATAAATCAAAATAGGATGATAAGCCTAGATCTGAGAGCATTCTTACAAAAGTTCAAACCATTATCTGGAGAAGGTTTTATTCAAAGGAAAGGATGATTGTAAACATGAAGTTGGTCATTCCTAAAGGCAGTTGATTGTTGGAAGTTGAGGTAGGTATATAAAAGTTGATGTTACTGGTTACTAGGCTGGGTTAACTACCTTACAGAATACTGTCAAGAGCAGAGACTGAAAAACAGTGTGATGGAGGGAACCATTAAATAAAAGATCTTCCTCAATCCTCAGAATGCTGTGATTGATGCAACTAATAGTGGCACAAATGCAAGGACTTGAGGACAGATCTGTCTATTACTGAATTCTATACTCACCTTTTCTACACATTATCTGAGCTTGCTCTTTCCTCTTTTCTCCCTCCGTATGAAAACAACTGCTATACCCTTTTGCAATGCAGTGCAATTTTGAAAAAAGAAGACAGGAATAGAGTTTCATGGAAACACAAAACAGAGTTCAGATGTGTCTGCCTTGCACAGAATAAATTAAAAATTAATCTGTATTACCCTGCTCTACATAATGTTTTACATTTCAGCAAACACCGACGCAGATCCTGACTATGAACATCACTCTAAGTATTACAGATTACAGAAAAATAAATGCCTTTTGTCCCAATATAAAAATTGTACTACATTTTAAATTTGTTGCAAAAAGTATAGCTGTACTAATATTATAGTGCTCAAAGCAAAGATGGAACATTTCTTCTTGTTAGTGTTGTCCTTGACCAACAAATAAATAAATATAATAAATAAATATAAGTATATTTCATATGTAATCCATTCCATCTGTCTATCCATGCTATTTTGCTATGTTCCACATAGGAAAGCATGAAAGATTGGCAAGCATAATTGTCAGTTAGTTTCACATATGTTTCTCAGGTAATTTCATGACACACTCTGTGGTTGGCAGCACTGGAAAAAATGATATGCTAGAGAGTCATTCTGACAGGAAGAGAAACCTAAATTTCAAAAATTATAATCAATTGTTCATAAGTGTATATGATGTTCCCTCTATTCTCTGAGGATTATGTTGTTGTTTTTTAAAATCTAACTAAAGAAATTAGTTTTATGGTTTTTTAAAGATTAGTGTTTATCCTGGCATAAGCTTTCAAAGACCATAATGTACTATACTGAATGCATAAAATTCACAAAAGTTAATATAATGATAAATGGATTAATCTTCAGTATTCTGCAGCACTCTTGTTTTTAGTGCAAGAGATTGATCCAATTACTCTTCTGGAAAGTAATTGCAGGTTTTGTGTAATTTCTGTACTCCTATTTCTATAGGGCTTACGAAGCAATTTTGACATTCACATTGTAAAACTACTCTAAGAGTCAGATGCAAAAGGTTGACGTAGTGATCCTACCAAGACCTCAAGTTCAACAAAGGCTCTATTGTGTCATTAAGTCATCCAGCAGAATGGTTGAATTATCCCAGATGTTGTCAATTTGTGATGCAATTCTCATTGACACTGGTGTTCCCAGATGCTTTTGTTCCCAAACATTGTTGACTGGTGCTGTACCTTGCCAGCTACCATTGTCTCTCTACAGTTGTTTACCAGGATGGGTGAAATACTATAGTGAATGCAAAATTACTTGGCATGTGTCAGTAGATTAAATCATAGATTATCTTCCCATACCAAATTGCATATGGGGGGCAATTGAGAATGAATGGAGAGTAGAAAACAGAGATTTGCACTGGAAGAAATATCACATGATAATTTATTTTTTCAAGATGTTTAAAGATGTATCAGTTCACACATTATGAATATGAGGAATGTTTTAAGAGAGAAATGTTTTAGGTTTTATATTCAATGATCATTTTACATATATATTTGTGAATATTGCATGTTAAAAATTTCTTCATTACACTTTAGTAAGGCTTATTAAAAGTCCTTTTCAGCTTCATCTTCTGATCCTGTAAGGCAGGGGTGTCAAACTCAATCATATCACAGTCCATATTGTGACATACTAGGATGTTTTTTGCCTTTGTGGAACCTAGGTGGGCGTGGTATGTGCAGGCTGTATACAGCCCATGGGCCGCCAGTTTGACAGGCCTGCTGTAAGGTATTGAGAACTCTCCTAAGAATGAATTTTCTGTCTGTGAAGATACTTACAAACTGTCTGCTGACATGATTTCCCCCCTGGATTTTGGAATTTCAAATGATATGATTTTCCCTCCAAACCAATACCAATACATAACTTGCTCCCTGTTTTTCTGGTTTTGAGCTACAGGTAGTCTTCAGCTTACAACTGTTCATTTAATGACCATTAGAAGTTACAATGGCCCTGAAAAAAAAACTTATGAACATTTTTTTTACATTTACAACAGTTGTAGCATCCTCATGGTCATGTGATCAAAATTTGGCCACTTGGCAATTGGCATGTATTTATGACATTTGCAGTGTCCCGGGATCATGTGATCACTTTTTGTGACCTTCTGACATGCAAAGTCAATGGTGAAGCCAGATTCACTTAACAACCTTGTTACTAACTTAACAACTCCAGTGATTCACTTAACTGTGGAGAGAAAGGTTGCAAAATGGAGCAACTTAGCAATGGAAATTTTGGGCTCAGTTGTGGTTGTAAATTGAGGGCTACCTGTACAGATTCACCATTATTTTCAGTATGTGTTTTTGCTAACTAGCTACTTGGTACTTCAGTGAATATGACTTCAGAATAATACATAGCACAGAAAGGAATATGAGTGAAAAGATGTATCTGGTTTCCCTCAAGCAGTCCAAGCTTGCCTAAAGAGTTTGTGGAGTTGCCTCAATTGGCTGCACATCCATACCAAGCTCATGGCACAGCTCTGCTCCTTTCCCAAGGCCTTATATGGACACGGTGTTCATGTATATTGGTATGTACAAAGGGCCTCTACGTGGTGGAAACCCTGTCCTACTTAGGTTTTTCCTCATGAACATTGTACCTCTTGGTGTCCTTACAATAAAGAGAGACATTGCCATGTTCCCCATGTGACTATATGATTCCACCATCATTTCTTTTCTGTACTATGATTTACTAGACAAGCTTAGGCCCTGATACCTATCCATCAGAATATGCTATCAGAACAAACTATTGTGTCTATGCACCAGTCTCCCCAAATTATTATTAGAAATTCAGCAGCTTAGAGACGAAATAAATAGAGAAGGAATGCAAACCAAAGCTGTTTTTCTGTCAACAGGTTCAGTTCAGATACCTCTCTAACTGACCTGTGAAAACATTACTAGAACAGAGATGCTAGCTCAATTAACCATTCAGTACTTTGAACTATTTCTTGATTGGTTCAAGACATTTTATTAAAATCTGCTGTCAGCACAATTTCCCACCAAAACCAAGCTATCCTGGCAGCTAGCAGTGCTGTTTCCAAAGAATGTAAAGATCCATTGTCATCCCTGTAGTGCAGGGGTTCCCAAACTTGGCAACTTTAAGACTTGTGGGAGTTGAAGTCCACAAGTCTTAAAGTTGCCACATTTGGAGACCTCTGTTGTAGTGGTTCCCAGAGGTTCTGGGTGACTGATAGGCTAAATCAGAGATTAAGTTACCCGCCCAGCTTCATCCTGGCCTGGGAAGACCCTGGTGTCAGCTCAAAAGGAGCTGCTTATCATGAAGCAGCTGCCTCTCAAAGCAGACCTCAGATCAGATGCATACAGAACCACTTTGTTCTCTATCCAAAACATTGTCACTGCAAGGGAAGGAAAGCCAGATATGAAACCTTTATTGTTCATGGCTTTGCATTTTATTTTGTTTCCCTATATTTCTTGTGTATTCTTAGGGACAAGGGGATCTACTGAGGAACGCCAAAAATGAAGCCATAGAAAATATGAAGCAGATCCAGCTGGCTTGTTTATCACGTGGACTGAGCAAAAGTGGAAGTGGGAACTCGGATGCCAAGGCTAAGCGAGGTCCTGAGCCAATCGAAAAAAAAGAGACAAGCAGCGAGAATGCCAGGCTCTGAACAAAGCCAACGGTGTCATATATTTCAATAGTCCAAAATTATTTTTTTAACACATTAAAAAAAGAGAGAGAGAAAGAAAGAAGGATCACACTAGCATCCTCTACAGGGCATCGGAAGTATTAAAATTCTCATAGTGCCAGTGTTTTACTGCTGTCATCTGCCTACATTTAAACTCTCTGGTAGTGACATTCTAATAATTTCCAGTTTTGTGTGGGGAGATCCTTTAACATTTTCCATGAATTACTTTATTGCCCTTTTCCTTATTTATTATTTTGTAATTCTGAAGAGCTATGTGGAGAGGGAAAGGTAATACTTCACTCTTTGGGTTTATACTTTGCTCTACCAGCTTTTGACAGTGTGATTTTTCAAGTCTGTAATATAGGTTTTACCAGCAAAAGAAACAAAGACAGAAAAATAACTCAGTCTTTTATTAGTGTGAATTAATAAAGGATTCCTCAACATAGAAGAATAAATTATTAACTTTTTCATTAAATTAAGTTAATAAATTATTAAACACTTTCTCTTTTTTAATGGAAGTCAGTAGGATTTCCGATGTACATTCCATTGACTTTTGCTAATCACGATTTGAAATGCATTAATATAATACCTATTAGTGAAAGAAATTGGTAACTTTTTATCTCAGATAGGTGGCTGGGGTTCAGTCTGAGCTCTACAAAAGATGCTGTAGGTCTGGACAAAATGATTCTGGACTTTGCTTGTGAATTGCAAATTTGTAGAATGGAACAGAACATACAAAGATAATTAATAATGCTGAAATATTTCTCACTGCCACTAGCTGAACAAAAGTAATATAAACAATTGATGTTTATAAAAGATACCTTAATTTGGATTTTTCATTCATATAGACAAATCTGCACAGGTCGCATGAGCAAAGGTCCATCTCACGATTGATGCCAAAGCATGCACTTAATTCACAGAAGTTCCTCCTCCAGCTTTGCATACCAGGTAGAGCATTTGGTATGGCAGCCTCTTGATTCACTGTGGGACATAAAGTGTGAATTACAAGACCTTGCACATTTTCTAAGCACCATCATGCAATTCTTGAGCCTTTATGCTTAGGTAGTTTTTGCAACATTTGCTGTGTTTCCTTGGTTACATTATTGTGAGAATACTTTCACATCTTTGAAGTATATATCATGAGAGACAATGCTACGATAGGCACGTAATAGTCTTCTTTTTTCAATTCCAGCAGAAATTATGCAACCAGTCTGAACTGATTAACATGATATAAGCAGATTCAAACTGAGTAGGTGAATTGAAGCTTCCATACGTGATCATATCTATCCTGTTTCTAAGCAGAACACTAGGTGCATTGATGTTGTTATACAATATTTAACATTTATATCACAAAGCTAAAAATTAAGTCACATGGGTGACGCAGCATAGAGGAGTGAATTGCTAGCTGTGCTTCTAGTGAGTCAGGCACATGGTGATGATCCCCATCGTTCTTTCCTGTTTGCCCAAATCTTACTTTTGTCACATCAATTTCATCGTGTGAGTTTTACCACAGATTTGATAGGCTGGAAATGTGAAGCAACATAGAGAGTAAGAGCTTAAAAAACTGAATGGTTATTATAAATTCTCAGCATGTTCCATTAAAAAAAAAATTAAATGTTGAGAAGAAGACATCTGAATTCTGCTGTTGTTTTATTCTCTAGTAAAGCTGGAAGACAAGTGAAAATGCCTCCTTGTTACCATCCTTCACAGTGCCTGGCTCAAATACTTTAGTAATGGTTGTGTATTTCAGATTTCTCAAAGCTTCAGTATATACAGTAGTGGTCAAATTTGTGGAAACCTTTTGGGAAAAATGTCTCCTTACATATTTTATGCCATCACTACCAACCAGAGAGATCTTGGTCTCATCACTCCAAATAACACTGTCCCATTGCTTCTCTGTCCAGGTAACATGGGTTTTAGCCCGGTTAAGTCTTTTCAACCTTTCTTTTTTCATGGAATTCTAGATTTTAGGTCAAATTCCTGCAGTCTGCGCTGAACAGTCCTTGCACTCAACTTCACATTGCATTGCACCATTTCATCTTGTATAAACCTAGATGATTTTCTTCTGTTATGTAGGCACAGTCTCTTAATTCTTCTATCATCAGTTGCTGTTGTGCACCTTTTCCTGCCTTTACCTGTGTGGTTTTGTAGTGACTGAGTCTTCTTATACCTCTTCAAAAACTTAAAAATGCCACCTTTGATTAAGTTTCCACCAATTTTTCTTCTAATTTCTTTATAATTGTAGTCTTGTTTACTTAATAATACTATTTTAGATCTCTTTCTGGGCGACCAGTCAACTCTTTGCACCATTACTTTAATTTTATTACATTGTACAAGCTCACTAAATGAAAGAACGCAAAAAAACCAACCAACTTGATAGTGATCACATAACACACTGACAAATGTCTGCCTCCCAGCTTCAATACATGACATCAATAACTGAATCCTATTGTGATCTGATTGACTCATTGCCAAAACAAGATGATAGCTGATTGGCTCTCTAAACACCAATGCTCATTGGCTACAATCAGATGAAGGAATGCTACTAATGCTACGAATGCTACTAATATCAACCTAAGCAAGTTATGCTTCCTTTTTCTGGGTATTTGGCTATAACTTTTCATAGAATACAAATAATTGAACAAACTTTGTTGCATTATATTCTTGATTAAATTATCTTTCCATTGATATATGGTACTACTCCAAAAAAAGTGGTGTCATTAGCCATCAAACCTCAAAAATACACTTTTCCCAAAAGGTTTCCACAATTTTGGCCACTACTGTATTTGCATTTCCTCAGTTAAAAGCAAGAGTTCTATGAATATAAGAGACTGTATTTATTTGAAGCATTGCTTTTATTTTGAAAAGCTACCTTTTAATTAATTTGATTAGCAAATGTGCTGACTTTTCTCAATATAACAAAAAACCAATTGTTGAAAGTTTGTCTAAAACTATTACATACATTAAGTTATTTTTTTGTAATTTCTTAAAAACACTACAATGTTCATGTTGCACATTTCTGAAAGAATAAAGATTGGGAGGGAAATGACCAATGTTTAAAACTGAGTTTATTTATTATTATGTTTATTTCAAAGACTTTATATAACCACCCATACTGTAACCACAACTCTGGCCAGTTTTCAAGACAATAAAAATTGTTTAAAAAACCAGTAAAAGATTACTGTCCATTGATATAACATTCATTTAGAATTAAGCCTTCACTGTCATATAAAATGATATAGCAGGTCCTTGACTTAGAATCATTCATTTAACATCTGTTCAAAGTTATTAATAAAGGAGAATATTTGTACTGATGATTTTACCTAGTTTAGGTGAGGAAATATCTGTAAGAAAATCACCAAGCTCAGAGAGCACCAAGGATCCATCACATTCAAAGTTACGAGGGTGTTGAAAACAGTGACTTATGACCAATCTTCATACTTGCAACTGTCATAGCCATCTCCACAGTCATGTGCTTGACAACCAGTGTGCATTTATGCAGCATCCCGAGATTACATCGGATTAATTTGCAATCTTCCAAGAGGACTTCTAACTTCTGGATTCATTTAACTGTGATTTTTTTTAATGACCACAGGAAAAGGTCCTAAAATCACTTATGATTCACTTTACACTTGCATCGTCTAGCAATGGAAGTTCTGCCTTCAATTGTGGTTGTATGTTGAGAATGGCCTGTATATAATATAAACATATCACTTTTCATAAACCATCTAGTAGAAATTTTACGAATCTGTTTGTGTGCATGAGTAGTTGAAGAACTAATCGATTCAACATTAGGCCAGTCAGGATATGCCTTATAATCTGGCACTGAAGAAAGAAATGTACGTATTTCCTTATCAGTTCCTATATTTTCCAAAGCAGTTTTAAAGATGTTCATACATGCTAAGGTTTGGTACTCTTTCCAGGGTTGGTTACTAGCAGGCTTTAGTATATGTCATTTCTTGACTGTGTTTTGAACATTTTGCTGAGCAGTAATGTTCACTGCCAATAGGCCTTTGATATTTCCATGAGAGGATAAGAAAAAATTATACTTTCTCCCATTGGTGATTGATCTCCATCTGCACACTCAGTTATATAATTTAGCTGAGTAACAACAAAAATGGAAGGATAACTATGCACTGCACAAGGCAAAAGAAATACTTTGAACACTTTACTTTGTCACTATGAAGGGTGTATTTCTGGGAGATTATGTACATTGGCTAATGAATATGCATTATGCCCAAGCAAAGTTGTAAGTGCATATTCCAAAGATGGGGAAATCAGGACCTTGACTAGGAAACATTCACAGTGCTCTCCACAGTGTATAAGGGGGTTGATAGCCATGTACATTAACTGTGCAGTTTACTTTGCCCCTAACAAAACCAATCAAGAATCTCAGTTTTCGAGGCCCCCAGGCATATTTTAAATTTGGAAGATACTCACCCAATAGATGAATGGGGGCAGAGGAGGCTTACTTTCTGAAGATGGCTGCCATTTTTCATTGTTGCTAGTCCTAAAACATTCATTTACCAACGAAGAAACAAAACAAAACAAAACCCTAAAAACAAATTTAGGAGTTTATTTCTCATTCTCTTCCATTCATTGAGGCAAACAGGAAGTTCTATACCATTCCCAGTTTATCTTTTTTTCTTGTACAGATGGCACATTTCTAAACAAAGCACTGAAATGCTGTCACCCATTGATTTTATTTTTAAAAATGCCTTAGGGGGCTCCAGGACTATCTTGCACATAAAAGTAGGGCTAGAATTTGGTGCCTTAAGTCCTTAAGTGCAGTGGTCCCCAACCTTTTTTGTACCAGGGACCAGTTTCAAGCACAAACACTTTTTCAAGGACCGGAGGGGAGGGGGGAAGAATCCGAGTTTGGTGGTTTGCTTGCAGACGTTTCATTACCTGACTAGGTAACATCTGATGTTGTTACCTAGTCGGGTAATAAAACGTCTGCCAGCAAACCACCAAGTTCAGGGAGCGCCTCGGCCCTGCCTCCCTCAGCCCCATCCCTCAGGTGTTTCCCTCCCTCCCTCAGGTGTCTGCCTCGTTCCTCTCTCAGTCGCTCTCTCGCTGCTCCACCAGCCCAGGAAGAAACTGCTTCAAAGAAGCCGGGGAGGGGTGGCTTTTCCTGTCGCCGCAGCTCCTCCGAAGCGCCCGTTTACCCCCCCCCCCCCCGCCCGCCCGCCCACGGTTCAACCCAGTGCTCCGTTCTGCCTGCCTGCCTTAGTTTCTGGTTGTTTGGGAGCAGCTTCGGCTGAGAATAATAACTATTCACCTCTTTTACTCAGCCGAAGCTGTTCCGAATCAACCATTAACGAAGGCAGGCAGGCAGGCAGGCAGAACGGGGCACTGAATTGAACCGCGGGCGGGCGGGCGGGGTGGGGGTGACCGGGCGCTTCGGAGGAGCTGCGGCGACAGGAAAAGCCCCCCCCCCGGCTTCTTTGAAGCAGTTTCTTCCTGGGCTGGTGGAGCAGCGAGAGAGCGACTGAGAGAGGAACGAGGCGGGAGGAAACCGAAGCTGCTGAGCCAGAGAGCAGGACAGGCTTCGGTTGCTTCCTCCCTCCCCTTCTTTCATTTGTGTCCTTGATCCCCGATCCCAGCAGCATTCACCGAAGGCGAAGAAAGCCGCCATTTTTTAATTTTTTTTTTCTTTGCGGCCCGGTACAAAGTGCTCGCCCGGTGGTTGAGGACCCCTGCTTAAGTGGATAAAAATAATCTCAGCAAAAAATAACTCAGCTGGGCACATGTAGAGGGAAATGATTGGAGGCACACTGGTGCTCATGTTGGAATTTCCAATATTACAAATATGGGCGACCTTGATTGTTAATGAAAACATAATGGAAGCATCTATTTTCAACATGCTAGATAACATATTTTCTGATCAGCACAGCTAATTTACTGCATAGGTTTCTGAAAATTCAAAGCCTGGGGTAGCTAGTGAATAATTTAGAAGGCTGCCGTGCCGTCCTATTCAAAGACGTCTTGGTGACACTTTCTTGACTCCTGGTATATTTAAAGGTTGCCAAATTGTCAATGAATCATTAATTTACAAGATTTATAGCTCTTTCATTATATAATTCTTTTTTTAAAAAGAGATCGCATTTTTCTCCAACTTCTGAATACAAATTACAGAATTATAAATCAGAGCCAACACTTTAGATTTGTCCCATAGATATTATGAAGCAGAATCATGTTAAATCAATTGCTTTGTAAAATTGAAGGCAGCAGGTTCAAACTGTATAAAATGTCCTGGTATTTGTATATGAATGCTGGCTGATAGGAAGCTTTAGGAATTCAATGAAAGAAAATTGATTCACAGAAGATAATGTGTGGATGTGATCTTAGAAAACATATTCTAGCCCAACCTCTTGCCCAGTGCAGATGTCTACTAGAGTATCACTGACAGCTGACCATTCAGCCTCTACTTAAAGACTTCTGGTGAAGGAAAATCCATTACCTCCTGATACTGTTGATTTACTGTTAAATAGCTTTTACCATAGGGAAATTTTTCCCAATGTCCCACTGGAAACTATCTCTTTGTAATTTAAATCAACTGTTTCTTCTGGAATAACTAAGAACAAGTCTACCTTATCTTCTTGAAAACAGCTATCATGTATTCTGCAGTCTCCAGTTGGATTAAAAATGCCCATCACCAACAACATCAATAAATTTTTCTTATAAGTTTTTTCTGTCCTAGTTCTTATCATTTTAGTTGCTCTCCTGTGGACACGCTCTAGTTTGCTGGTGCATTGTTGGTGCCTGCAGTTTGGCAATTCGAATCACACCAGCTCAAGGTTGACTCAGCTCTCCATCCTTCCGAGGTGGGTAAAATGAGGACCCAGATTGTTGGAGGCAATATGCTTACTTTGTAAACCGCTTAGAGATGGCTGTAAGGCACTGTGAAGCAGTATATAAGTCTAAGTGCTACTGCTATTG